TGCAGTGCTGGACAGGGTGCTGAAGTCTATAGCACTACTGGTCACATGTTACTTCTCTGAGTTGTACAGAAATCAGCATTATAAGTTGGCTGTACTAGTTCAAGTGATAGGAAACCACACATGAGGCTTGTGAGCCTTAGCTAGATGGTGACTTTGGTGAACCTGAATTATTTTTGTTTAAAATGTCTTTGTTATTTAAAATTTCCCTTCACTAGAGGCATCAACAGTAGTTTGTGAGTGTTGCAGATTTCCTTCGACCTCAGCAATCCTTTTTTGCTTTGGAACAAAATTTTTTCCTTGAACGTCACTGGAGTTAAAATTTGAGAAGTCTAGCTAGCTTGTATGGAAGATCTTCCTCCAATCATATTTGAATTAGCATTCTTTTAATGGAATGTGTCTATGCTTTCAGTTAACTGACTTTTTTCAGTTTTGAAAAAGCAGTGTGTTTCTTTTGTACTTAGTTCAAACCTAAAGGCAATTGATTGGTTCAAAATGAAGCCCTTTGGCTTAAAGAATGTCAAGTTTTGTGCACCAAAGAGCTCTGTGCGCCTAGAAGGTCAGCCATGTGCATTAGGCCACAGTAGAAGGAAAGTCAAGCTTATGGATGACCGGTCATATACCGTTTCAATTGGCAATGGAGACTACTTTTGGACAAATAAAGACACATTGTGGGATTACGTGCAGACTCTTACGGGTAAGAAATCAGCAGTTACCAAAATATGAATGTTTTAAAAACATTTTTAAAACGGATTGTACAAATAATACCCACTTCTTGCAGAAAACTTGAGAAGTGGAGATAACAAGGAAAATAAAAATTCCATTCAAGTATATCTTAATGTAAAATAATGTAGGTAAAATGATGGTTGGTTAACATGTAAAAGGCTGTTATTGAGCTCAGTTCTTTGAAATGTCTGTAGAAATGACAATTTCAGAGTCTCTTGTCAGCCTTCGAGTCTAGCTTATTTATTTATTTATCTAAAAGTTGGCTTCTCTCCTTTCCTGGAAGATTTTAGGAGACTTTTACAGCTCCTAGAGGATAATGATAGCAGCAGTGGCCGCATGAGCCAATCTGCCTTTGGTGGAAGTAGATAGAAGCTTAAATTCCTCAACACCTTGGTGAGTTGTGTGTATTTCCCTCTGCCCTGTGTTTATACATCACTCTTTGACAGTTGAGCCCAGAAGTCCCATTAAAGAATGTCATCTAGTCCAGAGAGGATATATTTTTGAAGAAGCTATGGAGATAACTTGACGGCAGATCTAGAATTTTTTTTATTTGTCTTAAATTTAGTTTACTTTCTTATGATGAGAGAAGATACATTTTTAAAACAGTTTAGGTTCCCCAAATTTTTTTTAAGTATTTGTGTTATGATTTGACTAGTGTCCCGGTGCACGGATTTGTGCACATTGAAAGGAAATTCATTAGAAGAAATACTTCAATGTCACTACTCACCCTTTCTCTACAATGGAAGTGTTAACCAAATTCACAATCAACAATGACAGATTGAAGCACACGTGTGCAATTGGTGCCAGCGAGAGCTTTATATATATCGCGCATACGCGAGTCAACTTAGCCTTTTATATATATACATATACATATACATACACATACACATACATATACGTACATACATACACTTTCTAAATTAGACCTGCTTTCTGATTTAGCTAAACTTTTTCCAGCCCAGTGAAGCACCCCAACTTCTCTTTCAGGTAATTGTCAGCAACACAGCAGTAAATATCAACAAAGAGCAGATTATTATTGTAGATCACGTGGGCAGGGAAAGGGTAAAATACTTAACTGTAGCAGTGTTTGACTATATTCTGCGCAGTGAGAAAACCTGAAGTCATTTTCAAGTTCCACCATTTCTTCTTTTCAGTTGGGTCAAGTTTCTAAACTTTCTAAAATCTCCGTTGTCTTGCTAATGAAAAGAAAATAGGATTCTACTGAGTCTCATATCTGCCTACTCCAGGTCTTCTGTGAGGATCAAATGAGATGAGGCACGGGAACGTGCTTCACAGATATTTGGTTGAACTGTAAAATGTTTGCACTGGCTATAAAGCAAGTCAGGTTCCTGGGCTGAAGAAACTCCAAGGAGGCTAGTCGCTAGGAAGCTGGGCATTGCTATATGACATCATTACCCGGCACCCACAGCGACCGTTTCCGGACTGGGCTGTGGGCTGCATTTTGCGCGATGGGGTCTTGGCTGCGATTTGGTGGGGTGTCGCTCTGGGGTGGTGGCAGGGCCTGTGTCCCACTTGGGGGAAGCCAAGTGTTGGTTTGTGGGCATCAGGTCTGTGGTGCTGTATATATTTAAATGGCCAGTGCGTGTCATGGCAGCTCCTGCGTTGAGCGTCTGTCCCCTGGTGGTCATTGCGCAGCATAGCTACTGGTCAGAGGGAAGGACGGACACTTAGCCTTTTATATAGATAGATAATAAATAGACATGGGGTTGAGACTTCTGTTTCACTCTAAACTCATACTTTGCTTTCTGGGGTCCTGAAATCCTGTGTCCCATTTTTACACATTTTGAAGTAATTGGTTCTTACTGTTCCTGTGCACCTGAAAGTTTTGTAAAATAGATGTACCGTGTAAACCAAGGGTCCTCAAACTGCGGCCCGCCAAAAACATTTATCCGGCCCACTGGGTGTTTTTGCCGCCACTGCCTGTCCTGCTTAGCAGCCAACTCGTCCTGGGCCCTCAGTACGCATGTGTGGAATGTCTGAGGGACAGTGAACTGGCCCCCTGTTTAAAAAGTTTGAGGACCTCTGGTGTAAACAGTAGTCTTGCAGTCAAGCATGTTGGGTTTCTAAAGGAAAAGCTGTTTTAACACTGTCCTTATTTTAAACTGGTAAACTTTTTCCATTAAACTATTCGTTCTTCCTCCTCCCTATTAGGACTCAATTCTTTTTTACAAATTTAATTTAATTTCTTACTGAATTTATTGGGGTGACATTGGTTAATAAAATTATACAGGTTTCAGGTATATAGTTCTTCAATACATCATCTGTGTATTGTATTGGGACATTTACCACCCCAAGTAAAGTCTCCTTCCATCACCATTATCCCCCTTTTACTTTCTTCTATTTCTTTATTTGTATGCTAATGATAAAATGAAATGCCAATTTATCTGATAACTTTAAGTAACAGAAGTATCACTTATTTTTATTATTATTATTGACTAGAGAAAGAGAGAGGAAGAGAAAGAGAGAAACATTGATTTGGGCACTTATTTATGCATTCATTGGTTGATTCTTGTATGTGCCTTGACCAGGGATTGAACCCATACCCTTGGCGTATCGGGACAATGCTCTAACCAACTGAGCTACCCAGTCAGGGAAGAAAAAATCTAATTTTTAAAATAATAAATTGTGGAGCAGGAATCATTAATCTTAGAATGTATATGGACACTTAACTCATGTTAAGGAAGCTTTTTAAATGTGTTAATCTTTTTTTTTTTTTTTAAATATATTTTATTGATTTTTTACAGAGAGGAAGAGATAGAGAGATAGAAAGTCAGAAACATCGATGAGAGAGAAACATCGATCAGCCGCCTCCTGCACATCCCCTACTGGAGATGTGCCCGCAACCCAGGTACATGCCCTTGACCGGAATCGAACCTGGGACCCTTCAGTCCGCAGGCCGACGCTCTATCCACTGAGCCAAACCGGTTTCGGCTAAATGTGTTAATCTTGACTTTTGGATTTCTAAGTTTATGAAAGCATTCTTTGCCTGGAAATTACCTCTGAGTTATCAATGTAGATTTCTCATTGTTAAATGTTACTACTATGTTCCAACTGAATTATAAACTTCTTGAAGGCATTGTACATCCTATATAATAAAAGCCTAATATGCAAATTGTCAGTTCGACCAGGCAGCAGGGCCAGCCAGCAAACCGTGGGAAGGGAGGCCCAGCTGGGAGAAGGAAGGCCCCAGCTGACAGCAGCAGGCAGCCGGGGGAAGGGAGGCCCCAGCCAGCGGTGGCCACAGGCAGTCGGGGGAAGGAAGGCCCTGGTGGCAGTGGCAGGCATCCGGGGGAAGGGAGGCTGTAGTTGGCAGGTGCTAGGGACCCTACCTGTGCACAAATTTCATGCACTGGGCCTCTAGTGTATTTATAATCTCCTTGGGTCTCTAGGGCCTACTTTTGGTATATTGCTAGAGGGACAGAACTAATATCTTTAAAAGAGCACACCAGCCCTTACCCATTTGGCTCAGTGGATAGAGCATCGGCCCACGGACTAAGGGTTCCAGGTTCGATTCCAGTCAGGGGCGTGTACCTTGGTTACAGGCTCAATCCCCAACGGGGGTTGTGCAGGAGGCAGCTGATCAATGTTTTTCTCTCATTGATGTTTCTAATTCTCTATCCCTCTCCCTCTCCGTAAAAAATATTTTTTTTTACAATAAAATATATTTTAAAAATAAAATAAAAGAGCACAACATTCTAAGCCCTAATGTCCGATGGGCAGAGCTGTAATCCTATATAATAAAACATTAATATGGAAATAGACCAAGCAGTGGAACAACCGGTCACTACGACGCACACTGACCACCAGGAGGTAAGACTCACGGCTGGCAAGTACAGCAGCGGGGGCGGGAGTCTCTCCTGCCTCCACAGCAGCACTAAGGACCCCTCGGGGGATGTCCAACTGCCAGGGAGCGGGCCTAAACTGGCAGTCAGACATCCCCCAAGGGGTCCTGGACTGCAAGGGCGCAGGCCGGGCTGAGGGACACCCCCCCGGCCCAGTGCATGAATGTCATGCACCAGGCCTCTAGTCCTTACATAAATAATGGTGGGCTTTCATTGAATTTGGCTGCAGCTAAAGGAAATTTTTTCTTAAGTTTGTAGAGGAGTAGCTTCTTACTCAACACTAATTAGTCATTGTAGTTGAGAGAGCTCTAACTTTGGCAACTTCATTAGGAAGAACGCTATTAAGAAGAAAACTAGGGACACATCACTGCACAACTGTTATTTCTAAAGAAGTGTAAAACTGTTTCCTTGCAGATCAGGGAGCCGAGAAGCATGAAGGGACAGGTCAGTCCTCTGGGATCACTGATCAAGAGAAGGAGCTGTCCACCAATGCTTTCCAAGCTTTCACGGTAAGAAATGTTTCCCTTAATTAAGCTCCATTTTTAGGATCTGTCAAGTATGAATTGTTTCACATTGAATTTTTAAATTTATACTTTTTCTGTGTGTGTACTAATTAAAGAGTTAAGTTTAGAGAGTAGGTTTAGTTTTAAAATAAAAACATTTTAGAGTTTAACTATGGTAAAGGATCAGGAATGGTTTGAGCCATTCCCAAGTTTTTGTGTTTTCATAAATACATTTTAACTCTCACACATTTTTTTTAAGTCTTTTAAATTTATACTTGTAAGTATGTGGGTCAGCCTTTTCATTTCACTAGTCTCTTCAATTTTTTTCTTGAATGTACTTTAAAATAGAACCCCAAAAGTTTGTCAAAACACTAACTATTCTGACATGTTTAAACAATATGAAAAAAAAACACCTTATATTTGATTATCAAGTTGCATACATGTAAGCAGAAGAACTTGAGACTTCGGTATTCAGAGTCTATTAACTAGGAAATAAAAGGTGGAGTAATCACATTACCTTTCTTGGCTAGCTTTGGCTATTATACCCTGCTAGCAATATGCACCAATATATACTAATAATTAATATATATATTACTAGAGGCCCATTGCACGAAGATTTGCGCAATAGGCCTTCCTTCCCCTGGCTGCCGGCATCGGTTTTCCTCTGGCACCCAGGACCCAGGCCTTTGGTCCGGCCGCAGCGGAGAAGCCAAGCCTCTTCAGTCTTCAGTCTTCGCTCCACGCCTGCATATGAAAATTAACCTGCCGTCTTTGTTGGATTAATTTGCATAGTCACTCTAATTGGCTGATGGGCGTAGCAGAGTGATGACCAATTTACATATTTCTCTTTTATTAGTGTAGATGCTAGAGGCCCCTCGTGCACTGGTGAGGTCCCTCAGCCTGGCCTGCAGATATTGGGCCAAAACCTGCTCTTTGACATCCCCCGAGGGGTCCTGGATTGCGAGTGGGTGGTTCTCAGGTGATGCACCCCGGAATTGGGCTCCCTCCTCTCTGGTTCCAGGTGCGTCACCCAAGAACCACAGCTGCCAAGTCACCGCAGCTCGGCAGCTCCTGCGTTGAGCGTTTGCCCCCTGGTGGTCATTGCACGTCATAGCTACCGGTCAGGCAGTTGCTCAGGCTTTTATATATATAGATATGATTATAACATATATAGGTATAGTTTATATATATATTTATATGTATATGTGTTATAGAAATGATACACATTTATCAGTGTTAGAGTTTGATTCTTAGGATATATATAGCCACCATTTCTGTTTCTTTTTTTTTTTCAATTTTACTGAGATATGATTGACATATCACAGTTTGGGGGGGGGTTGTTTTTTTTTTATTAATCCTCACCCGAGGATATTTTTCCATTGATTTTAGGGAGAGAGGAAGAGAGAGGGAAAGACAGAGAGAGAAACATTGATGTGAGAGAAGCACATCAATTGGTTGCCTCCTGCACAAGTCCCAGCCAGGGCCCGGGCCAAGGAGGAGCCTGCAACCAAGCCTGCCCTTGGCCAGAATCAAACCCAGGACACTTTGGTCTGCAGGCCGACGCTCTATCCACTGATCCAAACCAGCTAGGGCACACAGTTTCTTAATTGACATAAACATTGTTTTATCTAACAACTTTAGCATATTTTGGGGAATTATATCTTTTTAAAGAGTTTTAAAATAAAGATGAGTGTAATATATTTGGAAATGATCATATAGGTCTTAAAGCTGGTATGTAGTTTTGTGAATGTGTGTTTTCATTTTTGTTTTAGGCTGGAAATTATGATGCCTGTCTTCAACACCTTGCCTCCCTACAAGATATAAACAAAGATGATTATAAAATAATTTTAAATACAGCAGTAGCTGAGTTTTTTAAAAGTAACCAAACAACAACAGATAGTTTGAGACAAACACTTAACCAGCTGAAGAATCAGGTAATATACACAAATGAATTTAGCTATTATGCTCTCTAAATTTTAGGATAAAAATAGTTAAGGAAAATTAATGTGACTTATTGTCTGATATTCATAGTACAATTTCTAATTTATCTGAAACATTCATTGGTATTAATTTTACTTGTATAAAATTATTATTCCAGGAAATGAAACTTATGTAATATGATTTTGTTCTCTATTGGGTTTTCTTACTTGAATAAAATAGATTTATATAGCAAATTTGAATGTGCTTTGAGTAAACAGAGTCTAGCTTGAAAATGCAAAGTGGTGTAATTTTCTTTCGGTATCAGATGGTGACGTTAGGGTTCTAGTAAAGCCCTTGGGAGTCCGTTTTCACTACCATGTGTGACGAAGTGTATCTTGTTAATTACTTCAAAGATATCTATCCTTTTTACTAAGGGAACAAAACCTGAACATCATAGGAAAATCAGAAAGTATACTTCCTAGCTATATGGCTTTGGGCAAGATAATTAAGCTTTTTGTGCTGGTTTCCTTATTTATAAGATGGAAATGGCAATATTATCTATGTTCTCGAGGTGTGGTGAGGATTAAATGAGGTGTTCTCTGTAAAAAGGTTCAATGTAGCAGGCCTGGCACATAGCTAAGTAGTTAGCTATTGTTTGTTCAACGTTTAAGTTTTACTTTTGTTTTTACAAATGGAACCAAGTTTCTGTGTACATACTGTGTAACATGCTCATGGGAAAGGCCGTTTTGAGTTTGGCCCACTCCCCATGTGTCTACAACAGCCGTGGGCAAACTACGGCCCGCGGGCTGGATCCAGCCCATTTGAAATGAATAAAACTATTGCCGAAACCAGTTTGGCTCAGTGAAATGAATAAAACTATTGAAATAAAAGACCGTACCCTTTTATGTAATGATGTTTACTTTGAATTTATATTAGTTCACACAAACACTCCATCCATGCTTTTGTTCCGGCCCTCCGGTCCAGTTTAAGAACCCATTGTGGCCCTCGAGTCAAAAAGTTTGCCCACCCCTGGTCTACAAGGTGGAAATCCAACCCAGAAACCATGCTGGCAGTTCAGCATTAAAGATACACTAGTATCTTCACAGTGGCAAGGAGGAGAATCACCCTGCCTTGTGCTAGGTACTTAATACTAAGTCCCATCAAAACAGTTTACTAAACAGAATTTTATTATGAATGGAATACTTTTTAGTGTGAGAGTAATTGAAATCTAGAGATCCTGTTGAAAATGTGGGAAAATTCAGAGTAAGAAACATTGGCCTGTGTTCCTGTTTATTCATGTAGATTTCTTTCCCTTTTGTGCTTTATTTTCTGACTGTTGTTAGAGTATAATCCCTGTGGGTTGTTTTATAGGTCCACTCAGCTGTTGAAGAAATGGATGGATTAGATGATGTTGAAAACAGCATGTTGTATTACAATCAAGCAGTCATTCTTTATCATTTGCGACAGTATACAGAAGCCATATCAGTTGGTGAAAAACTTTATCAGTTTATAGAACCTTTTGGTATGTTATCTTTCAAGTCAGTAGTTTCCATATCTTCTCATACTTGCAAAGGTCTCTGGTGTTTGTACCCAGATAACCTAAATCGGAGAATTACATGTCAGTAAGAAAGGAAAAAAAGCTCTGTCCAGTTTTCTTAATGGTTACAAAAGATAAAAAGTATATCACTTTCAGATGAATCCAGGTTTTCTTTTAGCACCCTCCCAACTCAATTTTTTAAGATAACTGTTAGAATTGCTGTTCTAATATGAAAGAATTGCTGATTCAAGGGGTTTTCTTTGGTTGTGTACCCGATCCTTTCTTACCTACGTGGTATATGAAGGAAGGCGTGTTTTGTAATGTTAGGGACTGCGTAGTAATTTATTTTGTCTACTGCCTAACTGAAGTAGAGTAGATAGTAGAGAACTGTTAGCTTTTTTTGTTATCTTAACTAGCTTACTATCACTAGCCTTAAGAGTAGGAACAAAGGGAAGGGCAAAGGGAAAAAGAGGGAGCAAATAAAGCAGCAAAGCTGGACGCAGGAAATGGTTGTTAGAGAGGACCAATGGTTTCTTCCCACAAGCACATTTCAGTTGTGATTCACATTTCTGTCTTTTTCTCCATGGTTACTTTCTTTTAAATTCAAAACGGCAATGCAGATTCCTGCTTTATAAACACCCGGTTGCTGATGTGGTCCCCTCAGGACATGTGGTGGGGTGGGATGGCTCCCCCGTGATGCTTTGGGGAGAGTTACAGAGCCCCCTTTTGCTGACAGCTGGTTGAACAGCTGCTTACTATGGCTCCAGGGAAGCATTTTCAGGGCCTTCTCTTCTTTCCCCCAATCCTGAGGGCGTGGTGGCTGGATACACTGCCCCCGAGAGACCTCATTGGTGAAGCGTGGAACGGGTGACCAATCCTTTTCTTCTGAAAAGCTAGAAGTCAGAATTATACTTCAAGGATGGCACGGATGTGGTTTTGCACACACACACACACACACACACACCACTCCCGCCCCAAATAAAGCTGGTTTTTAGAATTTCCAGAACAGTTCCTGAAATCCTGTTAATCTGCTAGGGTTGAGCAGAATCTAGCAACCAATTAGTACTCAAATGTATTTTTCTTCTTTGAAAATTATTATTTTTTTGACTTTACTACTTGGATTCCTCATTTAACATACATTTATTGAGCATATACTATGGGCTAGACACTGGGACCTAAAGATTGATGCAGTGAGTGAAAGAAAAAAGTCTTTACCCTTATTAAGCTTACATTCTAATGGGAGAGAGCGCTGCACAAGAAATATATTGTGAGATAGTTCAATGCTGTGAAGAAAAGCTAAAATTGGGTACAGAATAGAGCTTAACTGGGGATACTGTTTTTCGAGAGGAACAGCCGGAATGCCACTGTGACGAGCTGGATGGGGGAAATGGTAGGAAATGAGCTCAGAAGTAGCCAGGGACAGAACAGGTAAAGTATTGTAACCGGGGTCGGGATTTATTGTTTAAGTTGGAGGGAAGCCCTTGGAGATGCCACCTTTGCGTATTAACTGCACTGATATTAGTTTTAAATGGAAACCGCTCTGGCTACTATGTAAGAGCAAGAAGGGAATCAGGAAGACTTGCTAGGAGGCTTTTAAGGACTTCCGAAATTTTCTGTTCTTGATTATAGCAGCCTTCTTTTCATCCTTATTTTTCCTTTTATCTTCTCTTTGAAAGGAAAGGAAATAGTGTTATGTCATGCTGGGTCACCCTTCCTTTCTTCCTTGGGTTCTTCCTTTGATATTCTTGTCTTTATATTTCCCTCTTGGCTGTTGCAATTTTCTGATATACTCCAATCCACACTGTGGTTCTTTTGTGTCTGCAATCAAATTATTTCTTTTTCCCATCTCTGCACCTTGAAAGGAAATATATTTACCGGAGTCAAAGATCTTTTTAGAATTAGAAGGAACTTCAAGAGATCACCTGGCCCACGCCCCTGCCTTTAGGCAGGTAAAATGTTCTCCCCATTTTACAGGTCAGCCAGTTGAGGTCTAAAAATTAGTTCAATGATGTGTAAAGGCCACATAACTAGTAAGTAGCCAGGCAGGAATGGGAATTGAGATATCCTTCCACATAAAGTAAAATCTTCATCTCATGTGCTGGTGTCCAAAGGATGTTCAGTCACTAGACTTCCTGAAATGAGAGGTGGTGAGATGCCTATTGGGATGAAATGAGGGGCCATAAGATGCCTAATATAACGGCATTGTTGAATTTGCAAGTTGTTTCCACCATGGCTCTAGGTCATCGGTTCTCAACCTGTGGGTTGCAATCCCTTTGGGGGTCGAACGACCCTTTTACGGGTCACCTAAGATCATCGGAAAACACATATGTATAATTACATATTGTTTTTGTGATTAATCACTATGCTTTAATTATGTTCAATTTGTAACAGTGAAATTGGGGGGTCACCACAACATGAGGAACTGTATTAAAGGGTCGCGGCATTAGGAAGGTTGAGAACCACTGCTCTAGGTGATGAAATTCATTTAAGTAAAGGCTTAGGCCTCGCTCTTTAGAGCTTTGGAGGGGCGGAGGGAGGACTGAGATGTTTGCTTCACTTTGGATTGTAATTTTTCTTTTTGTTTTATTTTCCCGCTCCCTACACCCAGAAGAAAAATTTGCCCAAGCAGTGTGTTTTCTACTTGTAGACCTGTATATATTAACTTACCAAGCTGAGAAAGCTTTGCATCTTCTTGCTGTCCTAGAAAAGATGATTTCACAGGGTAATAATAACAAAAATGGAAAGAACGAGGTGAGTATCCTAAAGTGATCAGACTGAAATTTAAATAATAAGGAACATTTGTAGTTATTTATTATTTTAATAGCTTTACTGAAATACTATTTCACTGTACAGCATGATGATTAGTTAATGCTACTGTATTTCATATATGAAAGTTGTTTAGAGTGTAGGTCTTAAACATGTATGTATAAGAGTTCAGTTAAATCTTAGCATTATTCATAAACTGTAGTAAACTATTCCCATATTCAATACTTGTAATAGTTGGTGAAGTATAATTCAGTTCAACAGATGCTTCTGTGCTCTGCTTGGTACTAAGGTGACAACAATGAAAACCTTGCAGTTCTGGATTTTCAAGGAACTCGGATCTGTGGGAGGAAAATACGGAGCAAATCTGCTCAGGGACTGGGAGGATGGAGGTTAGGGAGTGTTTCAGAGAAGTTTGGATGTTTTACGTGGGCCTTTAAAGATGTAATAGTTTGACAAATCAGAAAAGGAAGGAAGGATGAAGCAGGATAACCATCCTGGCAGAAAAAACAGCACAAACGGTGTGAGAAGGTGTGTTGGGGGAGTTGTAGTCATCTGAAATGGGAAGTCGTGCCTGAGAAATGTAATGGAGATCAGCAGCAGGGGAGATTGGCCACTCCAATATGGGTCCTATTGTGAAGGGTTTTGAATACTGTACTAGGAATTTAGGGTATGAGGTTCGGAGTGTTTATGACAGAGGAAGTTTTTAAGAAGGGAATTACATGATCGTGTCTGGGTTTTAGAAAGCTAAGCTGAGTTTTGCCCAAGTAAGACCTATGCGTTTTAAACCTAGTCTATCATTGTGCGCCATAGCAAGCTTCTCATAGGTAGAGTTTCCTGTCACTCACTCCACACTAGTAAGCCTGAATCTCTGGGACTGGGACCTAGGATTCTGAATTTTGAAACGTTCTCTAGGTGATTGAGATTCGCTCACTTGAAAATCTGTGATTTAAGTTGTGGTCAGAAATATTTCATTTTGATAAACTTTGTTCATCACCCTCTAGACTGGTAATAACACCAACAAAGACAGTTCTAACCATAAAGCTGAAAGTGGAGCTCTAATAGAAGCTGCAAAATCAAAGATACATCAGGTAATGTGACTTAAGAGAGGTTATACGTCACATGTATTTACTTGTGGTTATGAATGATGAAGAATGTGAGGGATCATTGAAGGCAGTAAATCATTTAAGACATATATGTTTATTTATCTTTGAGGTATTGTAGTTTGGAAGCCATTTAAGCCTTATAAGTATACTTTGCTTAAGGTGGCAATGCAATATCATTTCTTTTATTTACTCAATAGAAGATTGAGAGAAAAAATGGTCTGGGAGTGTATTAGATGATGAAATCACATTCATTTAAAAATTCATTGTTAATTAGCCCTGTGCAGATAAGAATTGGTAGGATTTTTGCTTGGAACTTAACTATAAATTTTATTCTACCATGTTTCTAGTTTTTTATTATTTTTATTTTTTTACCATGTTTCTAGTTTTTTAGAGTGTATTCCATTAATACAGTAAAAATAGGTTATTTAAGATAATTTTTAACTTGCAAGTAGCTGGCATACCCATGTTGTAAACAGATTGGGTTTCATTTCCTTAGCGAGAAAGCAGAACTGCTTCACTATGTGTGAATACACCATAGTTCTTACATGCTAGCATTTTTCCTCTGACAGTATAAAGTAAGAGCGTATATCCAAATGAAGTCTCTGAAAGCCTGCAAAAGGGAGATCAAGTCCGTCATGAACACAGCTGGAAATGTAAGTTTCTTCTTGACTTTTTTTTTTCAATTTGTGTCTCTTATGTCCTAAAACTTTCTTATTTGTACAATTTGTTATTTGTCAGTTTTAAATAATTTATCTTAGTCTGTTATGCTATATTATACTACCAGATATAAACCCTGATAGTGAACTATGAAGTAGTGATCATACTGTGTCTACTACAATTTAATGCAAGATGTTTCTAACTTAAAATTATCACAAGCATTTCTCCTTGGTATATAGCCTTCAAACCACTATTCTAAATAGCTAACCAGTGTTCTGTGAGTTGTTTATCACAATTCATATAAACATTCATTGTTATAAGACACTAGGATTTTTTTAGATTGTACTGACAACATTAATTCAAGATTAATAGTCAAGTTGTAGCCCAAACCTGCCCCTTCCAAATGATCTTTGGCCTGACAATGCCTTCAGTTTGACTAGTGCTAGTATTTGAGATATAATTACTCCTTTCTTCCACCCCCTTTACCCCAGCCCCCGACTGAGAAATAATTGTTAAGATGGTAGTGGGAAGGACAGAAGTGACAAATCTTGAGGCTTTTAGGATATTAATTGAAAGTATAAAATCATGCCTGGCCACAGTTGCTCAGTGGTTGAGCGTCTACCTATGAACCAGGAGGTCATGGTTCGATTCCCAGTCAGGGCACATGCCAGGGTTGCAGGCTCAGTCCCCAATAGGGGGCATGCAGGAGGCAGCGGATCAATTATTCTCTCTCATCACTGATATTTCTATCTCTCCCTCCTCCTCCCTTCCTCTCTGAAATTAATAAAAAAATATTTTTTTTAAAAAAAGTATTAAATCATGACAAGATATGGTTTGTAGTAGGAATAGTTCAGGAAAATTGACCTTAGAACATCCCAAGCAGGATTCAAATTAGCCACTGGATCAGTACTCAAGTGATTTTTGAGAACATTTGTAGCCTAGACCTAAGAGGAGGGGCAAGGCCTACATAGCCAGGCAGTCATTATGAATCCTTTTTTTGAGATTAAAAAAATAAAAGCATGATCCTTGCCTTAAAGGATATCATAGCCATAGGGAAAGGCAAACAGAAAAATAAATCATTGTAATGTAAGAAACAGTTGTTACCCCTGAGTCAGGGAACACTTGAGGGAGAGCCTCGTTTTGGTGACCATGACTTAACTGGTTCATTTATGCCCTTGAACGCAGGCCACCACAACAGTGTGATTATGATCTCATTGAGCATCTAAAAACAAATTATAAGTAACTGATGTTTTCTTTACAGTCTGCACCCTCTCTGTTTCTTAAAAGCAATTTTGAGTACTTAAGAGGCAATTATCGAAAAGCTGTGAAGCTATTAAATAGTTCAAACATTGCTGAACATCCAGGATTCTTGAAAACAGGTAAAAGAAAATGGTGAAATTTTTGTATTTTCTTCCTGGCTCTTCTACCCTTTGTTGCTTCCCGCCCCCCCCCTCCCCCCCAGTACCCATTTCTAATTCTGCTAAATTTTAATTTTTGATGTTTTTGTTGTCATGGCTTCCCCTCAGGGGCCCATTAACACCTAATCACTGAAATGATCTCTCAGACTACACAGATAATATGCTTTGAGAAAATTTTGCTTAGGATTGTCTTGGCTCAGATTTCAGAATTGATATTGGCAGTCTAAAATGGAGTTGGGAGCAGGGCATGTTGTTGACTAATTGACAGTTACCATCATTTAATAGGAAATATTTTTATATAATAGTTGTATATTTTATATGTTTATTTTTTTATAACTATTAATTTTTAAATTGTTAATTTGCTTCCCTCATATAAACTTTATTTTTTTTGTTGCTGATAAAATATGCTTATTAGAGGAGATTTGGGAATAGAAGTTTAAAAAAATTGGTCACAATACCACTACCCTGAAGCAACCTCACTTAAACATTTTAGTGTATTTCCTACTATATTTTTACCTTAGCATAGTTTTTCTTTTTAAAATACAGTCATTGCTTAATTTTAAAATAGTTCAAAAGCCAACATTTAGTTTTTAGTATTAAGCATTGACTATCCTGATTATTAATTTTGTCAGTCTAGTCAGGCATTTTATATCATTGAGGAAAAGATGGACTATCAGTAAGCTGTTTTAGAATGTTTGGGAAGCCATTTAGAAAAGGAAAACTAAAGCTTGGATTGCTTCCATTACACCAAAATACAGTCCAGAGAGATGAAGGATTAAAATGTGAAAATAAAATCACAAAAGCAACTTGGAGGAAGATATTAATTTTGTGGTAGGGGAGCCTTGATTAAACATTATCCAAAATCTAAGAACCATAGCACTTGGGAAAGCTTACTAAATTTGACCACATAAAATATGAAACTTTTGCCAAAACCGGTTTGGCTCAGTGGATAGAGCGTCGGCCTGCGGACTGAAGGGTCCCAGGTTCGATTCCGGTCAAGGGCATGTACCTGGGTTGCGGGCACATCCCCAGTAGGAGATGTGCGGGAGGCAGCTGATTGATGTTGCTCTCTCATCGATGTTTCTAGCTCTCTGTCTCTCTCCCTTCCTCTCTGTAAAAAATCAATAAAATATATTTTTTTTAAAAAATGAAACTTTTTATGATTAAAAACATAAACAATAAACACAGATACACTGGACCAAATCACAAGACAGATGACAAACTGGCAGAGGGGGAAATATTTGAAACAGATGTGACAGAAGCTTTCTAAACAGGTACCCAGTAGAAAAACATCTGTAACCAAATAAAAAAAGGGGTAAAAAACAGGAAGAGGCAGTGTTCCAGAAAAGAAATACAAATGCCCAACTAGCATGAAAAGATAGGTGCTCAGGGTAGTGGAGATTTACAGTTTAAAAAGCAAAAGCAGGATTTTATATATCCTGCTTTATGTATTTTTGCTATTCTTCATTTAACATATTTTCACTGTTTCCATATATACTTAATTCTTTCAGTTTCTACATAGTATTTTGTTATGTGGATGCAATACCTATATATTAATTTACTAATAAATATTTTTTCCTTTTTTGCAGTTTTTTTAATCTGTTGCCTATAATGATTTAAAATTACATCAGAGCCCAGCTGGCCCGCTTGCAGGCTCAATCCCCAGTAGGGGGTGTGCAGGAGGCAGCCAGTCAGTGATTCTCTCTGCTCATTGATGTTTCTATCTCTCTCTCTCTCTCTCTCTTCCTTTCTAAAATCAATAAAAAGTATATTTTTTAAAATAGATAAATAAAATTACATCATGAAAAAAGCATGAACAGGCTAATTAAATCATTATGCGGGGTTGGTTTATTCCCTTTAATAAATGACATTTTAAAGGGACAGGGAATCTGGTAATAGATTTATTTTGTATATTGTTAAAAAGAAAAAAAGAAAGAAAAATAAACATTTACAAGGAAAAGAAAAAAAAAAGGGAAAGGGAGTTTGCCCTGGTAGGGTGGCTCAGTTGGTTGAAGTGTCATCTGTACACCAACAGGTTCCTGGTCAGGGCATATACCTAGGTTGCAGGTTCAATCCCAGGTCACGGTGTGTATGGGAGGCAACTGATCGATGTTTCTCTCTCTCCCTCTTCTCTCTCTACATACCAATAAAAACATATCCTTAGGTGAGGCTTAAAAAAAAAAAGAGGAAAGGGAGCTTACAAAGTTTTCAGATGTTTCCTAAATTTCAAATGCCTTATAAACAGTTCTATAGGGACTATGTGGAATTGCATATAGAATTAACTCATGTTAGATAAGCCCAATTCTTGTATGATGTACATCAACAGTAAAATTTGTCTGTGGACAAACTTATTTGTGTTTTTCTCAGGTGAATGCTTGCGATGTATGTTCTGGAATAATCTTGGTTGCATCCATTTTGCCATGAGCAAGCACAATTTGGGAATTTTCTACTTTAAAAAAGCTCTACAGGAGAATGACAATGTCTGTGCACAGCTCAGTGCAGGCAGCACTGATCCAGGTATGCCCTTTGCTGGGGAACAGTTTATATTTTACTACTTGAGGAAAGTCTGAGTTCAGAGAGCAAGCATCTGGTCAAAATGCATGCTGTGTGCATCTACAGTTATCACTGACCCTGCCCAACAAGTTTGACAGTGGGGATTTTTAGTAGATATTTGAATAGCAAGGAGTTAAGAGTAATTATCAAAGACATTTTAATTCCCTTTTTTTCATAGATTTGAAAATCAGTAATCCCATATGGTAATGTTAAAAAACATAGTAATTTTTGACGATTTCTTGATTGTGCCAAACTAATGTTATAGCTTCTTTTCAGGGTTTCACATGTGGTACTGTTGGCAGCACCTGGCAATCTTTAAGCAATTACTGAAATTTATTCCTTTAATATTCATATTATATAGGTTCTTGATTTGAAATGCTTAAAATCAAGCAATCGTTTAGCTTTGAATTTAAAAAACTATTTAATTTATGAAAAATGTATTCAAAATCATTAATAGTCTTATTTTATTATTGATGGTGAAACTCTGAGTGAGTGAATGATAGTTATTATAGGTATAGCACATTAACTTTTATTTCCACAGTAAAATTATGTAACACCATAACATTAACTGAATACTTCTGGTTAATAAAAAGTACATGACAATAATTAACCAAATTTAAAGTAAAAAGAGTGGAATCTTTTTGCAGGCTCTAAAATGTGTACGATTCAAAGACGTGAGAGTGGGTCCTCTCTCTTCTCTTTGCCTTCCTGGAGTATGTGTGGCCTGGGTGGCTCTCACTTTTTGGCAACACAGACAACGGAAATGACTCTGGCAAATACTTGTGGGTTGGGGGTTGGAGATTGTCATTGATGAGAGCTCTTAAATGTCACACTGGGGTCAGTGGTATTAAACAAAGTAGTGTTTAAGTACTTAGGGAATGAATGTTTTCCATTAAGTAACTGCTATTTTAAATCTAATGATTGATTCCCACCTAATGTTTATCATTAGGCAAAAAATTTTCAGGACGACCCATGTGTACATTGCTGACCAACAAGAGGTATGAGTTGCTGTATAACTGTGGAATTCAGCTTCTTCACATCGGAAGACCTCTTGCTGCCTTCGAGTGCCTGATCGAAGCTGTTCAGGTCTATCACGCCAATCCCCGCCTCTGGCTGCGGCTGGCTGAATGCTGCATCGCTGCCAATAAGGGGGTGAGTGCTGCCTGGGTACCTTTTTGAACCCTCACTCTCCACCCATCCCCCTCACTCCCACCCCATACACATACTGTTACATGGAAAGCAAAACATACTTGGAAATCTACCAGACCTCATCCCCTTTTTAACTCTCAGGGAATTTATAGAGTCTTCTGTTCTTTAATAGCTGGACAAAAAATTTTAGGTTCCAAAAGTCATTTGTTAACATTCTGATTCTTGGTAAGTATGGCAACAGGTATCAGCACTCACATTACAGAGTTGAAGCCAACAAGCTCATACCTGTTGGAACAGTGGCTGACCAACAGGGGCCATGTCATCAGTGGGTGTGAGAATGCTGTGTGTGCCAGGCGATTAGAGAAGGGCTGGTGATAACCTAGTGAGTGTGGAGAGGACTGCATTACACTGCATTCCCTTCAGTGCCCGGAGCTTTACTTTTATTTATTTTTTAAAAATATATCAGTATTTTTGTTGATTTCAGAGAGAAAGGGAGAAGGAGAGAGAGGTAGAAACATTTATGATGAGAGAGAATCATTGATTGGTTGTCTTCTGCACGCTCCACACTGGGGATTGAGCCCTCAACCACTGAACCACACCAGCTGGGCCCGAGGCTTTATTTTGATTCAGTAATTGGTTCAGAGATCATAATTACCAGGCTGTTTCCCTCTGACACACACTTATCCACAGTGTCTAAGAGAAATAGGCCAGTTAACGTCGGTGTCCATGCCTAGGTTATCTCCACAAGGCACTGAGTGGAAGCCTTTGTATCTCAAGTGAGGAGTGGTCAGTGGGAGCAGGGGAAGACAGGTTGTATCAGAATTACCAGATGTCTGTATCACCATTTCCGAACCCCCCCTCACCCTTGCTGTGCTCTTGAGGTCTGTGGATTGGAGGCGGTGGCATGGAGTGCTGCCTGGCAGGCCTGCCGTAGGTGATAGAAGGTGTTTGGGCTCTCCTCCTCCTAGACAGCACTTCCTGAAAACATCTGCAAGTTTGTGTCATTGATTTATTCCATCTTACTTTTCCTTCTACATGACAGTTTGCTTATTGGATAATTGTTAAAATTAACTGACAATTCTAGGCAGAATTTATACTTTTTAAAAATAAAAGGCTCTCTGGAAATTGCTATTTTACTTAATCCATTTATGAATGTAGGCCATTCTCTTGTAGTACAGTTAATGGAAACCAGGGCATTACGTCTTCCTGGGAGTAGAGACACATATTAAGGTTTAATATTTTCTTTTCAAATTACATATTTTTAGAAATAGTATTTTTAGAATTGTCTTCGTTCTGTGGATTGCAGACCCTCCCCCCCTTTTTTCTAGAAAGTTTAAAAATTTGTAATTTTTAAAAAATGGTCAAGATGACTTGGTTGCCATAACTTGGTAGATACCAGAACACTCTGGTATCTATGCGACCAGATTACACTCTGGTATTAGTCTATGCTAATAATAGGAAATGAATAATTATCTCTTTGTGTTTCTCCTCTTAAAAATGACCTGAAGTGGCCTAAAATGATAGTGAAAACAAGCCAGAATGCTCTCATAATCAGAAAGCAAAATCCCAATAGGAGCAACAAGAAACTCCAAGTGAAATTCTGTAAATTTTCTTTCACTTGGTCAGGACAGGGGACGCTGAAGAAGGCAATTTGTAGTCTCAGAAACAAATTTATTTTTTAATAAAATGAACCAACTTAATTGTTAAATTGGTGATACTAAGGAGATCATTTGGTCCTGTTTACCTGAGGTATGTTGGTTGCTTCAGACCTTTTGGCACAAGCAGGACTGATATCTAGGTGGGTAGTGTATAATATGTGAGAAAATATCTGCTAAATAGAAAGCATCAGACTCAATTGTAGGGAGAGTATTTAACCAATGTAAGATAAGGCATTTTAAAAGAACATAAAATATACCATTTACTTTTCTGAAAATGTACCACTTATTTTTCTGAGTTCTAAAACTCAAGATTTGTTAGTGCTGTTACTGCGAAGACATTATAAAATAATCAATATTTTAATTATGTATGATTTTTTAAAAATACTGGGAGTAGTTGGGGCTGAAGCCTTTATTATTTTTTTTTAAAAATATATTTTTATTGCCCGGCCAGTGGGGCTCAGTGATTGAGCATTGACCTATGAACCAGGAGGTCACAGTTCAGTTCCCAGTCAGGACACTTGCCCAGGTTGCAGGCTTGCTCCCCAGTGTGGGGCGTGCAGGAAGCAGCCAGCTAATTATTCTCTCTCATCATTGATGTTTCTCTCTCTCTCTCCCTCTTCCTTCATCTTGGAAATCAATAAAAATACATTTTTTAAAAGACTGTTTTAAATATATATATATTTTAAAAGACTTAAGTATTTAAACTACGTATATTTTTACATGTGCCCATGTAAGTCTTAATATAGGTAACTTATTAAAGTTCATATGTTGTTGAAAAATTAATTAATACTTTCACTTTAAGAAGGAAAAATATTGGTCCCAGGTTCCATTCCTGTGAAGGGCACATGCTCAGGTTGCAGGCTCGATCCCCATAGGGGGCGTGCATGAGGCAGCCGATCAATGATTTTCTCTCATCATTGATGTTTTTATCTTTCTCTCCCCTCTCCCTTCCTCTCTGAAATCAATAAAAATATATTTTTAAAAGGGGTAGGGGGTAGGGAGGCAGTGGGGGGATAAGGATACATATGTAATACCTTAATCAAGAAAGAAAGGAAGGAAAAAAAGGGGGAAAAAAATCTGTGTTTTAGGAAGTGGAGCTGCCTCCCTTTTCTTCTTCACTGTGTTTCTGTGACTCTCTTTTTCTTTACTCTGATGTCAAAGTGTCCGTAATATGCAGCATAGTGCCTGGAGGGGTAGAATGTCCTAAATAAATTGTTCTGAGTACATGCTTAGGTCATACTTAAATTGCCTTTGTTCCTTAGAACTACCTCAAACCTCATATTAATGAAGCATAGCATATGTCACACAGACTGTCAGCCCATGGACTCTTCTTCAATACTGAATGTATTTCCTGTATCACCAAAAACTCCACGTTGATGCATCTTAAGAACTTTCTTAGAGTAACTGGAAAGGTAGTGGGTCATTTTTCATACCCTGTTTTACAGCTCCATTAAATTAATGAGAAATTATTTGTATTTTGTAGACTTCTGAACAAGAAACTAAAGGTCTTCCCAGTAAAAAAGGAATTGTACAGTCTATTGTTGGTCAAGGCTATCACCGTAAGATCGTTCTGGCCTCACAGTCCATACAGAACACAGTGTATAAGTAAGTATTTGCAAAGAGAAAGTTCCTCCTATTATTTCATAGGAGGAACCACCTTGCAACTAAGTTTTATGACTATTTCAAAATAGGTGCATAGTGAATGTTACCTGTCATGGGACTTTGGTTTGTTACATTCCTGGGAGCTGAATCAAGCCCTCGTCTAGTCAGTGCCATTATTCAGAATGTCCAGAAGAGGGCATCTCGATGTTTCCTTTTTGTAGTGTCATTGTTAACTTTTAGGTAATTTTCTCATAGTCCCTAAAGCGAATTCTTTGTATTAGGAGGAAAAGGTACGAATACATAAAACATCCAAAGCAATATAAATCCATCACATGTAAAAAAATCTATAGTTAAATATGAACGTCTTTATCTTGTATAAGGATTCCAATTTAGAGTTGCTAGTATTTCTAAAGTAGTAGGCTTTTTAAAAAACTTCGTGCTTTTTTTCCCCCAGCATAAAATTTGTTCACTACCATTTCAAAGTTTTCCCAAAGTTTTAGAATAGTATCTGGCACACAATATTTTGGTATTAATTTATTTCAACTACAATGCAGATTTTTTTTTAAGGACTTGATATAGCATATCACTTTCCTACAATTTCAAAATTGTTACTAATTTTCACATTTATGTATTTCCTAATAAGCCTATTTAGTTTCGGTTTAGTTTGATATCAAAGCAAATAAAGTTATATAAAATCTCAACAAAATTATAAGACAAATAATGCTGCTTTTGCAAAACTTAATAAAGGCATTTTTCAAAGTTAAAAATCAACCAAAACAAGGCTCAAATGTGGAAATCTTCCTTCCCTTGTTTCCAATTCTCATTATGCCTGTCTTGGCCCTCATTACAATTTTTCTTGTTGATAACTCCTCTAATCCGTTAACAATAATGGGTATAATGTATATACTTGCAATCTGTATACTTTTTGCACCTTGTATTTACAATTTGAGCTTTAAGCATTCTCTTATAACTGCTTATATTAAAATTTCTACCTATCACAGGGCAACGTTTTCATTTACAATTATATTGGTTTTATTTCTGATAATGAAAAAATGCTATTTATTTTTATGTTATTTACGTAGCTAATTTGATTTTGTCCTTTTAAGTGATGGACAGTCTTCAGCCATTCCTGTAGCCAGTATGGAGTTTGCAGCCATTTGTCTCAGAAATGCCTTGTTGCTGTTACCTGAAGAACAGCAGGATCTGAAGCAGGAAAATGGGTCTAAAAACAGCAATCAGCTAGGTGGGAACACTGAGAGCAGCGAAAGCAGTGAAACTTGCAGGTATTCTAATCCCTTTGAATCTCCTCGGCAGAATCCCTTCGGGACTTTATTAATAAGCAAGCCTCTGTGTGCTGCAGGTGAATCCCTGAAATCTTCACCCCGAATTTCCAAAATTCTCCATTTTGAATAATAAGGAAGGAAAGTATAAGTGTTTGTTTGAATTTTTTTTTTTCACTTTTGATAAAAGAAGTACTCTGGCCACTGTGGCTTAGTTGGTTGGGCATCGTCCCGTGTCCCAGAAGGTTGTAATTCCATTCCCAGGCAGCACATGCCCGGGTTGCGGTTCGATCCGAAGGGGCCTGCAGGAGGCAGGTGATAGATGTTCCCCTCTCACATAGATGTTTCTCTTTCTCCTTATCCCTTTCTCTCTAAAAATTAATGAAATATTTTTAAATAAATACTTAAATCCTAAAATTACACCAATCTATAGAAATTGAAACAGTTTATTTAGTAATAAACAAACACCATTTTATACAGAGAGTGTTCTTTTTTTACACATGGCACCTTTAAACTCAAGTCTCCTATCTTAGCATTTTTTCTTAATGATAATAGAAATACGTGTTTAATATAGAAAATCTGGAAAAAAAAATTGTGGGTTTTTTTTTTTCTCTCTCCATGAAGGGGTTATGTTTTACCATAGTTGATAGAAGGTCATCAGAAGAATGAGAAATGTGTGAAAATCTTGAAGTGGGTTTTTTTGTATGATGGAGATAATGTTTTGAATTAGAGGTTTTTAAAGCAGTATTGTGTGCTGGGGGAAAGAAACTAATAAACAATATAGCTTTAACACATCAATGATACCAACTTATAAGCATATTTCATTGTTTTGCCTCTTTTGTACTTTCATTACAAAAAAATGCATAGAAAACAAAATTTTACATTTAATTTTTTATTTATTGCTCTTCATAATTAAGAGTCCTTCTTTATTTTAGCAGTAAAAGTCATGAAGGAGATAAATTCATTCCAGCTCCACCCTCTTCTCCATTAAGAAAACAGGAATTAGAAAACTTAAAGTGAGTATCCAAACAAAATTAGTATTGCATTTACTGAAAGGAGCACATTGTTGTTGTTTTTTTAATTTTTAAAAAAATATATTTTATTGATTTTTTTACAGAGAGGAAGGGAGAGCGCTAGTTAGAAACATCAATGAGAGAGAAACATCGATTAGCTGCCTCCTGCACACCTCCTACTGGGGATGTGCCCGCAACCAAGGTACATGCCCTTGACCGGAATCGAACCTGGGACTTTTCAGTCCGCAGGCCGACGCTCTATCCACTGAGCCAAACCGGTTAGGGCGAGCACATTGTTTTTAATCTCTCTTATTCTTTTTAAGATTATGAATTACATTGATTGAATGTCAGATGTTAAGCTAACCTTTAGTCTCGTGACAAACACTGTTAATCAGAATATATTGCCCTTTTTGTAAATTGTTGGATTCAATTTGTTAATATTTTGTTAGGAATATTTGCTTCTATGTTCACAAGGAAGATTGGGTCATGGTTTTTTTGTAATGTCTTTGGTCAGGTTTTGGTGTCAGGGTTATGCTGAACATATAAATGAATTGAGAAGTGTTCGCTGAAAGAGTTTATGTATGATAAATATTTCTTCTCAGATGTTTGCTAGAATTCACCAGTGGAACCATCTGGCCTAGGGTTTTCTCTGTGGTGAATTTTTTATAATGAATTCAATTTCTTCAATAGAAGAGTTTTATTCACATTTTCTATTTCTGTATCAGTTTGGGTAGGTTATGTATTTGTCAATTCCAGCATATGTATATATGGTGGGGTTTTTATACTAGCAATTGCATAGTGTCCATACTTCTCTATACCTTACTTTTCCCATTTGACTTTATGTGTATCTTATTGTTTGATATTAGTACAGATCTCTGTTTCATTCTTTCTAATGGGTGCATAACGTTGCATTATATGGTATCACAATTTATTTAACATTCCTTTATATTTGGCTACTTACAATGTTTCAGCCTTTGCTATTATAAATAGTGCTTCAGTGAATATCATTTTACACAATCTATGGGGACTTCTTAAAGAAGAAGGTATTTGAAACCATTTTGAAACTTGATTTAATTTCTATAGATTTATTTGAATGAATACTCATTTTAGGGTTCTTAATTTTTGCATGCAACGTAAGAAGTGTATTATCCCATAATAGTTGATTTGAACAGCTGCAGAATGGTCTAAATTAACTTTATATTCTGAAAATGGCATTAAAGAAAAGGGTATGTGCAGGGTGGCCTACTTCTCGAAGAGCTTTGTACTTCTCATGGCATAATTCTTTGCTTTCCATGTCTTACCTAGCAGGAGGATTGGTGATTTTCAGGGAAAATTAAAATTACTTCCCTATTTTTGTGGAAACGGTGAAGGATTTCCATAGGGAGTTTCATCGTCATAAAGTGAGGCGAAGATGGGTTCGGTTTATATTAACCTTTCTTTCTTACGGAGCAGATGGGAGAAAGGAAATGGGACAAGATGGAAGGAGCCTTAGGGTAAATTTATAAAAAGGACTACTATGCAAGACAGTAGTCATGGTAATGTGGAGACAAATGGTGCAGGGAAATAGTCATGAAAGATTAGTATCGTAATTTTTAAGACTATAAAAGCTCACAATGCAGTTGGGTATGATCAAGAGCAGTTCTGTGGCAGGAGCCAGCTGTCTTCTGTAGAGGGAAGGAGCACGCCGGTTCTGTTAGGATCGTGAATTCTTAGAGATTTCATCTATTTCTGTCCTGAATTCTTATTTGTGATTGGAAATGTGTGTGACTAGTGAATAGTTTAGTTTTTATGGACTATTATATTTGACCCCTTTGTGCTCTATAATACCCAAGACACCAATGCAAAACCTCATTTCCTGTTTCCAGCATAACTAATAAGCAGTAAATTATCATGACTGTTCTGATGACCACTTCTTACGGGTCCACAGCGTTTTGAGTATTTTCCATTTTTTTGGTTTGGTTTGGTTTTGTTGTTTTTCATTTGTACATAAAGGCAGATGGCTCCAAAAAGTACTCATTCTAACCAGGTTACAAGTATGCTTTCAGAAGGCATATGACACCTGAATTAGTTGAGAGATTCCATACTATAAAATCAAGGTAGGTTTCAGAAAAGTAGTTTCACAATTAAAACAGAAATTTGCCCCCAAATCAGGGAAATGTCTGCGAAATTAAATAGTTTAATTGTGAGGCTCAGATGAAATTAGAGGTACTGATATAATGGATCAAGAAAGGTGTGTGTGTTCATCAGTTTCATTCAGTTAGGAAAACGCATAGTTCAGCCTTGAATTAAACAAATGCTCTGATATTAAGTTTTTACAATAAAAGATGATTCTATTTCTAGGTATTTAGACAAGAGAAATGAAAACTTGTCCACACAAGAATTTTATAGCAGCTTTACTCATGATATACAAAAACTAGAAAATAATCCAGCTATCCATTCATAAGAGAATGGATAACTAAATGTGTGATTTATTCTATCTATTAGAGTACTCTCAGCTATATAAAAAAAGGAAGAAATTACTGATGCCCAAGTTAACATGATTTGAATCTCAAATATTTGTGGGTTTTTTTTTTACTTAGTATAAGGTACATATTATATAGTTCCATTTGTACCATTTATATGATGGACAAAACTATACAAAATAATTTATATTGATAGCAATTAGAACAGTGGTTGGGAAATTGACTAGAAGGAATTATTCTGGGATGACAGAAACGTTCTGTATGCTAATATATATGTGTGTATATTCAACCTTATCAAGCCGTACACTTAAAATGGTGTATTTTTTAAAATAAATTTTTATTGATTTCAGAGAAGGAGGGAGAGGGAGATAGAAACATCAGTGATGAGAGAGAATCATTGATTGGTTGCCTCCTGTACGCCCCCTACTGAGGATTAAGCCCACAACCCAGGCATGTGCCCTTGACCGGAATCAAACTCGGGACCCTTTAGTCCGCAGGCCGACACACTCTATCCATTGAGCCAAACCAGCTAGGGCAAAAATGGTGTACTTTAATGTATGTAAATTATACCTCACTTAAAAAATTTTAAGGTTTTTAGAAAATTAATATAATTCTAAAATATATTGTTTCAGGAAATGCAATTTAACCAGTAAAAAGTCAATTTCTTTTACACATCATTTTTGAAGTGCCATGACATGGAAAACTTGGTTTCTTAACCAAAAAAAAAAATTCCTCTACTTGTATTTAACATATTTCTTAGATTCCAAGGCTACAGTATTCAGGACAGATCCACTCATCCCATGTGGCTATTGACCACATGGAATGTGGCTGTTAACAAGGTGTGCTGTTTAAATAGGTGACACCCACATTTCAGAATTTATTATCTCAGTAATTCTGGTATTGATTGTATATTGGATTAATTAAAATATATACAATTAATTAAAATTTGCCTGTTTCTTTCTATTTTTTAAAAATGTGCTGACTAGAAATATTAAAATTACACTTATGGCTCCAGTTATATTTCTACTGAGCAGTGCTGCTCCAGGGTTTTTGAGCTGGGTTTGAAGTGTTTGTATTGTTGATATATGGTTTCTATAAATGTATAATATTGTTGCTAGGTCAGTTTTCTCACATGCCACCAATTTTAGCTGAATATCTCTTCAGAAATATTTTTGTCTTTAAAAGGCCTAGTGTCCAAATGAATCCTAGAATGTAGAAGCTTGCACAGGATTGATATATGGGCCATATGCTTTGGTTTAATTATTAATGCTGCCACATGCATTTGGAGATGATTTTCTTATGCACTTATTGATTATATAACAAGGGTATATTTTTAAGATTTTCTCTTTTAAAAAATATTAAATCTTATTAGCGTAACCAGTTGACACAGACACTGGGGTGGTGGGGGCTTGTCCTGGAGGGTAGGAATGGCTGGGGAGGGGTTGATGGGGGGGAAAAGGAGACATATGTAATACTTTATACAATAAAAATATATGTATATATTAAGTCAATTAAATCAATTTATTTTTATTGATTTCAGAGAGGAAGGGAGAGGGAGAGAGAGAGAGATAAAAACAACAATGATGAGAGAGAATCATCGATCAGCTGTCTCCTGCATATCCCCTACTGGGGATTGAGCCCACAACCTGGCATGTGCCCTGACTAGGAATCGAACCATGACTTCCTGATTCATAGTTCGATACCCAACCACTGAGCCATGCCGGCTGGGCAAGATTTTCTTTTCTTCTTTTTTTATTTATTTTTTATTTTTTTTAAAACTAAACCAGTTTTGGCAAGATTTTCTTTTTTTAAGAGTCAACCATTTATTGACTGTCAACTGATATATATTTAAAAGTTTTATTGAGATACTAGGGACCCAGTGCATGAATTTGTGCACCTTGAAAGGAACTGTGGGCTACAAGGTTGCAGTAGGCACAGGGGCAGTCTTGGCCCATCCTGCGCGCCCCAGCCCAGCCCCTCTCGCCACAGCCCCCAGTCTCCTGTCTGCATGCAGCCCCACTCCCGCCCACCACCGCCACGCCCATCACCACCATTCCCGTGTGCTGATGGCGCCAGCCCCACTCGCACCTGCCGACAGCACAGAGTGATAGGGGCCGGCGCCAGCAGCAGGTACAAGTGGCGGCGGCTGCCTTGATCACCCCTCAGGAGCAGGGGGAGGTGGAGAAGCCCTCAGGGGCAAGCAGCGGCTCCAGTGGTGGAAGTGGGTGCGAGCAGGGCCGGTGCCGGCAGCAGGCACAGTGCCAGGTGGGACCACAGCACATGGTAGTAAAGAATTTTCAGTAACCACCAGAGTCTCACCCTGATGACAGTGACCGGCACCCCACCTTGGTCTGGCGCCCCCACTCACCTGCTGCTGGGCTGATGTTATGGCATTCACTGTGACGTTCACTGCACCAACTAGCGGTGGGGTATCTGAAACTGGCTCATAACCTGAATTTTAGCTCGCAACTCAAAGCAAAAAATCGGCTTGTATCTTGAAAAACTCGTTAGTCGGGACACTCCTAAGTCAAGGCCCCACTG